CTCTGTTCTTCTGACGCTTGGAAACCGTCTTCCTCTCTTACCTCTCTATACATTTCTTATGGTATTTATCTTTACAATGGCAGAGTAAATCTCATACCTACTTTAAGTCAAAGTTTCGCTCACTAACTTTCGTTCGCATTTTACTAAATTGTTTGCCGGACAAACTCTGAGGCGTTCACTGTGTTTTTGTAACTCTGACCCTCTTCTTTATTCATGCCTTCACAATAAATTTTGTGGAGCTTATCACAAACACAATTTACAATACTTTACAAAAGAATATTTACTACTGCTAAGTGCGTACTCATGGGTTAGAGTTTGCGTGGAGGACCGCACGTTTTCCCGTCAAGTTAGTATTTTATAAATCGCAAACATTGCGTAGAAACTGCTGTACGCCATTTTTTGAGCGTATATCCCTTTATAAATGAGGCCCCTGAACCTGAACCTCTGGACTTGTCACAGTCTGCTTTCTCACTCACCTATGTTCTGCATTAACATTCCTTAGTCACCTGGTAGCACACCCTGTCTCTCTCTCTTACTCTGTTACACCCATCAGCTCCATTAGTATTTAGGCCCACTTCACTTTCACCTCAGTGCCAGATCGTACTTTGCAGCATGCCAGTCTTTCCCGCATTACCCTCCAGATTGCTCTCCCGGTTTCGATCCTGCCTGTCCCTGACCAGTCCTGCCTCGCCTGCTCCCTAACCCGTTCTGTACCTGCGACTCCCGTCTTGCTTTCTCCTGGAACCCTCGCCTGTCCCCGACCAGCCCTTTGCCTACTATCTGCCGTTTTGTCTCCTACCAGCCTATTGCCTTCAATAAAGCTGGTTACCGACTATCCCTGGTTTCCCGTGTGTTGCATTTTGGTTCTCAGTTCGTTTGTGACATAGGGTCTTCAAAATTAGTTTGTGTGTGTGTATATATATATGCTATATATGCTCTGACCATTCCACTTCCTGCCTGCCCGACCTTACGTTACGGCTGCGCTGCGTCAAAAATAGGATTCATCCTAATTTTAGAGGAGCCCTGCGCCGAGGCGCTTCTGGGACGCTTCTGAGCCGTAACGCGCCGCGTGTGGTGGAATAGCACCCATTGACTAGAGTGGCCGCGATCGCCGTGAGCACCGCGGCGCAGTTGTGATCTGGCATGCTAGGAACAGATTGAAGAGGCAAAGCTCTGGCTGTGAGTTTTAAAAAGTACTTTTGTGTCTTCTTGCTTTTATGCTACATTATGTGTTTACAATGCTAGAGGCTAGCGAGGACAGTGTGGGACCAATTTGGCCCAGTCACTAATATTTCAACAATTATTGGATACACCAGTATTGTCCCAAAGGGGAGTTTTTCTTTACTACTGTTGCCAAGTGCTAGCTATTTGTGGGAAATGTTGGTTCGCTGTAATTTGTATTATAAAGACTATGGTCTGGACGTGCTCCGTATAAAAGGTTTTCTGAGATAAAACAACATTGAAATTAAATTAAATGTAAGGGATGAAGCCGACTGCTTATGGTGATCCCTTGACTTCTCTATAGCGCCATCAGCAGGTTAATATTTGTGGTTTTAACCGATTTGTCTCAACAACTATAGAATACACCAGCTTACATTTTTATACAGATATTAATGGTTTCCTCACACTGAGAGAGCTGAATCTACGTTACTTGTAGTGCAACCAGTTAGTTTTGTTTCAATTTGTGAAGAGTCTCAACAAATATTGGATATATTTAAAAATGTTCTCATGCATGTAATAATAATAAAACATGCTGAACTTTAAAGATGTTTTTCCCTTTTTTTTCCCTATTATACAGCAGAGCCTTGCAGCAGACAGCTGCGGGTCAGGTTTCAAATTCGATCTCTAAAATACTAAGCTGACACATTCGAGAATATCATAAATGCATAAATGCAGCAGGTTAGAGGCCTGCTTTCAACTGCATTAAACATTGAAGCCTGCAGGTTTAAAGCAATTTTTCGATGATCAGTTGAAGACGGTCATAGCATAGCAAAAAAGTAATTTCATTTAAAGATATTATTGAATATATATATTTTTTTAACAATTGCAACAATTCCCAGCATTTCATGGGGACTAATGGCAATTTAAGTTGTAAATAAGATACACATATTCATCATTACAGAGCCAACTATTACGATTATGAGTATAAAACATTGTCATTAGAACAACACGGAAATAAACAAAATGTCTAACCCAACAAATATAATTAGGTCTGTTTGTGTCTAATATAACCAATAGTTACAGACCATATTAGCTTAGGCATTTGTTTGTTCAATCTGTTTTCCTCATAGAGCTGATTTTCCTTGTTTGGGATACTTTGTCTTTGCCCGTGGTAATGTCATCCACAGAATATTCACTTGGGACAGGGTTTATGTTGGATACAACAATATCAGGGATGACAAGTCAAACATGAGAAATTCACATAAATAAAGCTCAAACTGATGCATTATATTTTACAAGTCGTGCCCTTAAGTGTGGTCTCAGGGACATGTGTGTTGCTGTGTATGTGTGTGTGTTAGTGTGTGTGGAGAGAAGGAACATGTGAATCATTCTCTCACTGCTGTCTGAAGCTCTCTTGCGGCATAGCCAGAGTTCAGGGAACACCACTGATGCATAATGTGTGTGTGTGTGTGTGTGTGTGTGTGTGTGTGTGTACTGACCTGCTCTGCTGGGGTGGGGCTCAGGTCCTGGTTTCTCTTCAGCAGACACTCACTGAAAGCCGTTTCGTCGGGAGCAGGCTTCACTCTGGGGAAGGCCATCTCACACTAGTGATAAACAACAGCCCTCTTCATTACTCACACAGACACACACCATGGCTGTCAATCACCTGTGCTTTAAACACAACTCTCACAGACACATTGTTTCAACAGAGGGCAGTGAAACACCCCGTCCAGCCTGCTGTTAAGCTACTCCTTAAAGCATCTGTCATCTCAATCAATTTCTAATTGTACCCCCCCGTGCAATATTGATTACTCACCACATAAAAATCAAATGGGATGTGTGGGACAAATGGACGGTACCTAAACAGGAGTGTAGAAAAGATCAGTTAGTAGTTTCTTAATGACTGTAGGCAGTGAGTGTAAAAGAATATCTGATGTCAACAGGGTATCAGGTACAGGTGGACTGATTGTATCACATCCAAGTAGTGGAGAGTAATATGGACATATGTTAATGTCCTACATGTTGCAATAGCATTACAATATCATTAGGAGAGTGCTCAAGGTTCAATATGATAATATGTAATATATAATATATACTGGCTGAAAAGAATAATGATCTACTAAGCATAGTAAAAAAAAGAAAGTGTAATACACGTGTTGAACTCAATAACTAGATGCAAACAGTAGCAGCTTTACAGAACCAACACCATTTCAGATTCTTTGTTGGTTTGCTGTAAAACCCAACAAGTAATGTTTACAGTATTTACACTACATACCACTATACTGTACTTCATAGTACTAATATCAAAATAAAAAGGAGTTTCAGGGGTCAAATATATTTTTAATTGTGTAGTAATGTTAATGTTGTGATATGTTATAGTAGCCATAATTAAAGTTATAGATTGGAGGCTTTCACTGTGGTGAGCCCTTTAATAAACTACTGTGGGGCAACAACTATGATCCGGAAATGGCTATGAAACATGTTAACCCCATAGAGCTCACACAGAGCTGCTAAGGCATTTGCTCAAACTAGGAAAAAGACCTGGGATAAAATGAGAGATGTGGCAGAAATAGGAGCAGCTCAGCAGTTTCATCATGATTTCATCCAGATGGTAATGAATACAGACAAAAAGCAGCTGAACTCACCCCTGGATCAGTCCTCCACGGGACCCGAAGCGGCCGCCCCGGCCCCTGCCACGGTCTCCTCTAGACACAAACACAGGAACACGTCGGAAGAGCTCATACACCTTTACTCATCAATCATTCATTCATTCATCAGCGTTACCTAGCATAAGGCTATGATAGCCAGCATCAACCCACTGTGTAACGTTCGCTGGTAAAAGAAAGTAACATTCCCCATGCAATTCCTAAATTATACCTTAAACACGCTTTAGGTCGGTGGCAGATATCAAACAAAAACCACGACATGTTCTGAACATATCTCTGTAACATGTAGCCAGCCTAAGTACAAACAATGCACGAAGCTAACGATAGCTTCAAGCTAAGCTAGCATTATTAGCACTACCAGGCACCTCGAGCTCTATTTCTAACACACAAGCAAACAACAACACCTAAAATGTTGGTTGATTAAACTGTAAAACTAAACGGAATTAAATGTTAAATGTGTTGAAATATAATTACCTCATTGCGTACGACGTTTTGATAATTTAATGTGCAAATCCTGGGAGAACTATGGACAGTCTCGCGCTGCTCTGCTTCGCTTCGCGTCGCTTCTTCTTCTTCTTCTTCTTTGGTGTTTAACGAAAACATCCGTTGTGTTGCATTGCTGCCACCCTGTGGAGGTATCTTGTTCTTCTTCTTGTTCTTTCATGTTTATTGGCGGTTGGCAAACCAACTTGTAGGTGCATTACCGCCACCAACTGGACTGGAGTGTGGACAAGAGACTAAGCAGAAAACAATAAACAAAAGAAACAAAACAAAGAACCAAAACTCTAGATTATTTTAAATTGATCAATTTCTCTTAGAAACTTAATAATCTCACAATGTATATTGCCTGATGTTTTCCCTAACAGTCCTGATAGTGACAAGTCATGGAATTTTGCTTTCTTCAGTGTCTGGAAAAACACATTTCTCTGAGTACTATATTTCCTGCAAAGCAGTAAAACATGCTCAACAGTTTCTGGCTGGCTACAGTGTATACACTTTCCGGTTGGATGCTTTCCTATTATACTTAATGTATGATTGAGACCTGTATGAATGAAATGACATTTTCCTCCCTTCTTTTAAACCCCACCTTCCTTCCATCCCCCACATACCTTTGAATTTTATAAAGATGTCTTCCTGTATCACTAAGGTCCCAATGATCTTGCCATGTTTGTGCATATTTCTGTATGAATGTTTTAACCTCCACTTTACCGAGTGGAACTTCTATGTCTATGTTCATACTTCTGAGTGTTTGGCCAGAATATCCACCTGTTCATTACCCACCATACAAGACGAACTGACACTGAACACTGGGGGACTTTAACTACTCAACAACGAGACACAGGTGAAAACAATCAGGGGCAGGGCTGACACTGACGAGCACAGGAGACACAGAAGGGATGACGGGTGAAAACAATCAGGAAATTAGACACACCAGGGAGACTAACGACAGACATGAGAAACACAGGGAAAAGGACCAGACAATAACCCAGGAGGAAAAACATGACANTGCATATTTATTATACTCTTGTAAGATGTATACAAGAATAAGAAATGTGCAGAATATGACTTTAATGTTTAATGGTGGAGGTACACACATATCGATAGATGTCTATCTATCGATATGTGTGTACCTCCACCATTAAACATTAAAGTCATATTCTGCACATTTCTTATTCTTGTATACATCTTACAAGAGTATAATAAATATGCATAATATCGGTTAAAATAAGTGCTTCAACATAGTTAACATTGCAGGAAAGTTGATTGTCAAGTCCCAAAACAAACCATGCAATATATTAAACGTTAAGTACTTTGTCAGGCTTAATATTTATCAGATACCCCCAACGCTTTTTGCTTACATGTATTTAAAATAATACCTTAACCTAAAGTATTATTTAATGTTTTAATAAAGCCTAATTAGATTGTCTGTTTTGCACAACCTCCTATTCATATCTTTGCACATCCGGCACTAAACTGTTTTATTCTAGATATCAGTATCTTCTTGATATTTTCTGTCATTGACCTTCACTTTCCTCCTATTTTGTATGTACTCTTAATATTTAAATGTTTTCATCAAATATAATACATTCAAAAGTGCTTTACAAAAATGAAGGAGGTTAAGAAAAAGGCATTTTAAACAGTCATTAAAAAGCAACACAATCTACCTGCATTGCAATTACTTTAAACGTGTAATAACGTGCTTTAACCAGTACGAGGTGCTGGTTAAAAGGCAGTCAAGTTTACAGTGTTAACAAAATAAAATGTACTGCTGTTTCCGGTTTAGTTTACGACAGATATATGTTGTTATTGTTTTGACATTTGTAACACAAAAGCGATGGAAAAACCCCACAG